GGGCCTCTCACTGTTGTGGCCTCTCCCGTTGCGGAGCACAGGCTCCAGACGCGCAGGCCCAGCGGCCATGGCTCACGGGCCCAGCCGCTCCGCGGCATGTGGGATCCTCCCGGACCGGGGCACGAACCCGTGTCCCCTGCATCGGCAAGCGGACTCTCAACCACTGCGTTACCAGGGAAGCCCCCCAACAATAGAATTTTTAAAAAGAAAAATAGTATATCCTCTCTGGTCTCTGCCTGCTTTCACTTCCTTTTAAGGTTTTCCCCCTACATGTAGAATTCAGCTGGCACACAGTAATTTGGGCAGTTTTAAATTTTTAATTAATTAATTAATTAATTTTTTGTTTCACCACACGGCGTGTAAGATCTTAGTTCCCCAGCCAGGAATCAAACCCACACCCTCTGCGGTGGAAGCGCAGGGTCTCAACCACTGGACCGCCAGGGAAGTCCCTGCATTTCTTTTTTCTTTTTTAATAAATACATTTATTTATTTATGGGTTTATGGCTGCGTTGGGTCTTCGTTGCTGTGTGCGGGCTTTCTCTAGTTGCGGAGAGCTACTCTTCATTGCGGTGGACGGGCTTCTCTGGCGGTGGTTTCTGTTGTTGCGGAGCACGGGCTCTAGGTTCGCGGGTTTCCGTAGTTGTGGCTCGTGGGCTCTAGAGCGCAGTTGTGGCGCACGGGCTTAGTTGCTCCGCCTCATGTGGGATCTTCCCGGACCAGGGCTCGGGCCCGTGTTCCCTGCATTGGCAGGCGGATTCTTAACCACTGCGCCACCAGGAAAGCCCCGTCTTCAGGATTTTTGCTTCTTATTGTTGTTCATTTTATCTGGCTTTTATAAACGTTATCTGTGGGAAGTTTGTGTGACCACTTCACTGCTCCAACATTACAAGCGTATGTTTCTGGATATATGCCCAGGAGTAGGATTTTATTTTATTTTTTTGACTGTGCTGCGCAGCTTGTGGGATCTTAGTTCCACGACCAGGGATTGAACCCGGGCCACGGCAGTGAAAGCTCTGAGTCCTAACCACTGGACCGCCAGGGAACTCCCCAGGAGTGGGATTTTAGCTGGGTGGGAAGGAGCACACATAGTTAGTGTACCATCTTGATCCAATCAATTTGGAACTTAATCTCTCACATCCTAAACTCAGGACGTTTTTGGACTAGGCTTAATTCCTGAGGAAGTGGACTGTCCATCTCAGGGAGGGAGAATTTGGAAAGTTCTCTAGGTAGATTCATTCCATGATACTTGATTTTCATAGGAGTCCATATGCTTCTTTAAGAGCTCATGTTGGGACTTCCCTGGTGGCGCAGTGGTTAAGAATCCGCCTGCCAATGCAGGGGACACGGGTTCGAGCCCTGGTCCGGAAAGATCCCACATGCTGCAGAGCAGCTAAGCCCGTGTGCCACAACTACTGAGCCTGTGGTCTAGAGCCCACGTGCCACAACTACTGAGCCCGCACGCCTAGAGCTCATGTTCCACAACAAGAGAAGCCACAGCAATGAGAAGCCCATGCACCGCAACGAAGAGTAGCCCCCGCTCGCCACAACTAGAGAAAGCCCACGAGGAGCAACGAAGACCCAACACAGCCAAAAATAAATAAATGAATTAAAAAAAAAAAAAAGAGCTCATGTTCCCCCAAGGAGGAGCTCATTCACTGAAGGCAGTGTCTGACATAAAACATTTCTTATTTCAATAAATATTACCACTCTAACGTTGGCTTGATTTGATCTCTGTTAATCAGAATTGCCAGGAGCAAGGAGCTCCTGCTTTCCTGTTCCAGCACTTGCTGTTTCTTTTTTTAAAAAAATACTTACTTATTTATTTTATTTGGCTGCGCCGGGTCTTAGTTGTGGCATGCATGCAGGATCAAGTTCCCTGACCAAGGATCGAACCCAGCTGGGCCCCCTGCATTGGGAGCATGGAGTCTTAACCCCTGGACCACCAGGAGAGTCCCAGAACTTGCTGTTTCTAGGTGGTAGTCCAGCATCATAATTTTACCTCTGAGTCCCAAAGCTAAATATGTGAAAAGATCCACTTATTTTTCCATTCATTCCAAAGTGAGTAGATCTTAACCTAAGAGAGAGGGACTCTCTTTTTATGGATGTGCTTATGCTGATAGGTAGGAATTTCTTGAGAGGTATTTAAATCTAAAAGCCCAGTCTCCACAAGGACTTTAGCTAGAAATGCATACTTTATTTTTCTGGACACGCCCTGTGGCATGTGGGAATTTAGTTCCCCCAACCAGGGATGGAACCGTGCCCCGTGAAGTGGAAGCGGGGAGTCTTAACCACTGGACCACCAGGGAAGTCCCTAGAAATGCATACTTATAAAGCAGATGGTCTTTATTGTACCCTTGTATGACTCCTTTTTCTCAAATTGGAATAATCTGTAATTTTTTGGACATTTTTCATTATATTTACAAGTTGTCCATCGGGGGAAAAAACCCTACAGACCAATTACTATGGGTTTTTCTTCCTTGTTCACAATCTCATATTTTCTCATAACTAAGCAAAGAAGTATTTTGGGTTGTCTGCAAACATGAATTCTAGAACTCTTGTCGTTTTCTTCTTTGAAATTTTAACAAGATTGTCTCCTTTACAGGAAAAGGTTTGTTTAGTCTCTTTTAATATAAATATTCCACAGATGTATTTCTTCTCATGTGTTACTTGTGATCAACAGGACACTGAAAGACTTTTAAATTGGCATTTTCCTTTTGAGCAACTTTGTCCCAACCCTTCGTAAGAAAAAACACTATGAAAGATTTTTTTTTTTTGGCCGCACCGCGTGGTTTGCAGGATCTTAGTTCCCCGACCGGGGGTTGAACCCGTGTCCCCGGCAATGGAATTGCAGAGTCCTAACTGCTGGACTGCCAGGGAAGTCCCAAGACTATGAAAGATTGTCCACAGATGATTTGAGGGCATCACATGCCATTTTACACAAAAAATCTGTAAGGCCATCAAGCTTGAGATAATAGGTGTCTAAAGGCATCCTTCCCTCCATCCTCGTGAAGGCCATTTCAGTGTCAAACCGGCACCTGAGAAACACTGTACGTCTCGTATGGCTGCATCCCTTATCCCCTTGGTGGCTTCTTTGCAGTGGCACCGCTGAGCTCTTTGCCACCTGTGCCAAGAAGGACATCCGGGTGTGGCACACGCTGTCCAACAGGGAGCTGCTGCGGATCACTGTGCCCAACATGACCTGCCGTGGCATCGATTTCATGAGGGACGGCAAGTGCATCATTTCCGGTAAGGTCAGTGTGTGCCAGGGTTTGGCTTCGGGCTCCGGCTGTGGCTTTGGTTCTCGTCATTCTTATCCTACCAGGCTCGACATGGGGAGGACCTGGAACAGCCTCCCACTGTCCACTTGCTTCTCATCTAGCCTCTCTTTGGAATTCCCGTCCAGCTGGGATCCCTTCTGAGCTAGGAATTACCAAGCAGCAATCTCTCTTCCCCCACGTTGCTGCATAGAGCACGTTGCTTTCTCTCTAGCAAGGAAATTCAGTGATTCATTTACAAAGTGGATTTGAGGCCTTAGCGAGTCCAGGGCCCTTGAGTGAGAACCCTTTTTGTTGTTCAAGAGATTAAAAACTACTTAAACTAAGTTATAGCTCCAAGGGAATTTATTTTTAATTCAGTTGATTATGTGATGCCAAAATATTTTAACATAAATTGTAGACACCATGATATTCTACCTCTAAATACTTCAGTATATGCATCTCTAAAAATATTTTCCTATAAAATCCTAATTTCCCAATATTGTTTATGTTCAATCCATATACAGATTTCCCCAGTGGTCAAAAGTGAATTCACTGGTTCACATGAATGAAAAGTCAAGTGGGTCTTTAGGGGCAGCTATTTAAACAGTGATATCAGGAGACTTCCCTGGCAGTCCAGTGGTTAGGACCCTGCGCTTCCACTGCAGGGGGCAGGGGTTGGATCCCTGGCTGGGGAACTAAGATCCCACATGCTGCGACACAGCCAAAATAATAATAATAATAATAAATGAAATTAAATAAAACCCATCTCATCCCCTCTTTGCTCAGCTCTGTCTCCTCGTGTTGGATTCTCCCCTGGGGTGTGTCTTCTCCACAGAGCGGTCACCGGAAGCTCTTGGCTTACATTACACTTAGAACTAACAAACCCCGGGGTCAAGAATCTTGGAGTCCCCATCACCTGCTCTTTTCCTCTAATACCCCACCCCGTTTCCTATGCGACACATAGGGCCTTTGCTATAGCCGTTCAGTCTGCCTGGAATGTTCTTTCCCCAGAGAGCCCCATGACTCACTCCCTCACCACCTCACTGCCTCGAGTCTTGGCTGAAATGGGATCCACCTTGAGCATCCTATTTAAAATTGCTAAGGTCCAGAGCTGATGCTGGAGGTGATGAGGGGCAGCCAGCCAGGTGAAGAGCTGGGTGAAGAGCACAGCAGGAAGAGGGAACAGCAAGTGCAAAGGCCCTGAGGTGGGAAATTACTTGGTGTGTTTGAGGGATAGAAAGAGGACCGGTGTGTCTGAAGCTTAGAGGGTAAGGTTGGGGTCAGGGTTGAGGGAGAGTGGTAGTAGAGGAAATTGAAGGGGTAGGGAGGGAGCAGAGACTAGTTACTGGAGAGAATTAAGGAGCTGGTTTTCATTGTAAGTGCAGTGGGAAAAGCTTTTTGAAAGTTCTTGATCAAGGAGGTGACATGATTTTAAGAAGTTCACCCTGGCCCCTGCATAAATAATTGATTGCAGGAGGGCAAGAGTCTCAGGCTAGGGAGAAAGCTGTTATAATAATCCAGGAGAGAGATGCTGGTGGCTTGGACAAAGGTGGTCCCAGGGGAAGGTTTGAGACGTGGCCAGCTTTACTGTTTTCAGATTGTAATGCTGATGGGACTTGTGATGGATCGGAGGTTGGGTTGGGTTGGGTGGATGGCATAGAGAGGAATCAAGGGTGGCTCTGAAGTTCTTGGCTTGAGCAGCTGGATGGGTGGTGGCGACTTTTATCGAGACGGGGAAGATGATGGGAGTGAAAGAAGAAACATCAGGTTTAAAGTGGGGGCGAGGGGTGGGAAGGCAACAGTTATTTGCAGGTGTTAAGTTCTACATCCCAGAGGCATGATCAACCAGCTGCTTGAATGTGCAAATTTTGCGGCTCACGGGAGAGGTGGGAGCTGGCCTCCCGCTTCTCTCTCCTGGCATGGGGCTCACCTGGAGGCAGGTTCAACTAAGGCAAGTCACTCATTTCCCTCAGGAGGTGTGGCCAGTTTGGGGAATCAGGGAAAAGGGGGCTATGACTCCTGGCAGCTGGTGGGAGATCGGCCTCTTCCCTCCATCAGCACCACTGCCCCCAGTCCTGTCTCTCACTTATGATTTAAGAGAGCCGCAGTCTGCAGAGACCATGAGTATACTCATCCTGCCTGCCTTTGTTTCCCTTTCGTGCCAGCGTGGGACGACGGTAAGATCCGAGCCTTTGCCCCAGAGACAGGCCGGCTGATGTACGTCATTAACAACGCCCACAGGATTGGAGTGACGGCCATCGCCACCACCAGTGACTGTAAAAGGGTCATCAGCGGCGGTGGGGAAGGGGAGGTATTATTCTCGAAGGCAGAATCTTTTTAAAATAGCCCTTGGTTTAGAGCAACTGCCTCATAGCAGGCCACTAATTTGATTTTTTCACCTGTACTAGGAATCAGGCAGGACCAAATTAAGATTTTTGATGAAACTCTGAGATACCTCATAAATTAAAGTTCTAATAATATAAATACACATATCAATATTTTTGTTCCCAGAAAGGACATTTAGGATACAGACATGAAATCATCCTACAGGGAACTGAGCTAGGAATCCAAGTTGGTGTTTTGCCAGAGTTTTAGAATACTTTTTTTTTTCTCCTTCAAAAACCAGTTATATCAATTGTCTTTATCTTATCTTTTAAAGGAGATGCTATTTTTATAATTGATTCTTTAATCTACCCAGATGCTTCGACCCTCATTTCAAAATTATTACACTCGACCTTTTCGTTCCATCATTTCAAGGAGCCTAAAACATCTTTCACAAATTCATCTCAGTGTCTCCCCTCCCCTACTCTCCAGCTTTCTTCCTATCCCAAAGCCTTCCCTCTCTCAACGTAGGACACTTCCCTTTTCCTTTGCTTTCCCCATGCTATCATAGGAATAACCCAGGGAGAAGAAAGATACAGCATCTTCACGTAGCCTTTGGCAGAGTTTGGATCAAACCTGTTAGTGGCTGAATGTTTGGGTTCTGGGGCCACACTGCCTGGGCTCCGATTTCACTTCTGCCACTTCCCAGCTGTGTGACCTAGGGTGTGTGCTTTAACCTCTCTGTGCTTCAGTTTCCTGTAAAAGTAAAGTATAAAGTGAAGATAGCAATACTCCAATTAGTGAGATGTATTTTTACACTCTTTATTTTGTACGAAGTCTTCAGAATCTGGTGTGCATTTCACGTTCAGAGCACATCTCCATGTGGACTAAACCCTGCAGATGCTCCACAGACACACCTAGTCCTAGACCATCCCCCTGCTCTCTGCCCATTATCACCCTCGCGGCTCTGTTCCCTTCCCTCATCCCTTCAGCCACGCTGTTGCTAACACCCACAGCATTCTTGCTTGCTCCCTCAGCCTTTGGGGGCATCGACCTTGCTGAGGAGGGTTACAGGAGGGAATCGCACAAAAAAGATTCGTCGCCCCCAGCCCTGATCAGCAGTCTTTTCACAATGCCCGCTCCCATTCCCTACAGCTACTCCAGAACTTTTCTCCCAAGAACATAGTCTTCAAGGTCTTTGTAAGTACTAGAGGCGAGGGCTGCTGGTCCGCAGGTGTGCACCGGTCTGAATCCTGGGGTTGCTAAGGTACTCTTAAGTATTTTATTTCCACTTTCATTGGCCGTTATCTGAGTTTATACCCAAACCTCCCTGCCATCCCACAGCTAATGGCCGGCACATCCAAGGCTCCAGTCCTGTGCTGTTTGGCTGGTGCCCACACCACACTGGCTAGAACATCCTGGCTAGAGAGCCACTGCCTGCCTCCATACATTCAAGATTGTGGATTTGTTTACTCTGGCAATAGTCATCACCCTGTCCCACGTCAAGACATACTGAGTGGGCTTCCCTGGTGGCGCAGTGGTTGAGAGTCCGCCTGCCGATGCAGGGGACACGGGTTCGTGTCCTGGTCTGCGAAGATCCCACATGCCACGGAGCGGCTGGGCCCGTGAGCCATGGCCACTGGGCCTGCGGGTCCGGAGCCCGTGCTCCGCAGCGGGAGAGGCCACAACAGTGAGAGGCCTGCATACCGCAAAAAAAAAAAAAAAAAAGAGACATACTGAGTTATTTGAACACCATAGCAAGGAAGATGGCCCGGCTCATTTGGGATAACCTCACGCTTCCTCATCTTCTTGACTACGAAAGTGTCTTTGAATGTTTTTCTTACTTCATTTAAGGTTATTTTCCTCTTGTCAGGTGCAAATAAGTTAGTCTGTTATTACTGATCCCAACACTAGTTTTCAGTTTACTGTTCAACTAGACTATGGCTCCTTTGTTGTCTCATATCACTTACACAAAATAATTTCTGCTCTTCTTATGTTTTAGAAGTCCAACACGTTCATTATAAGAAGCATCTGACTACATTATTATGTTTTCTGGTATAGTTGTGACAGAGCGTTTATCCATTACAGGACCTACTGTTATAACCAAATAACTTTCCTTTTTACTTACCCTTTTTATTACAGTTAGGGCATCATACTGCTAGTTTTGAAATTTTGTGTGTAGGTAGTTGTATCACCTCTGCATTTCATTTCAAGATAGCAAAGGGATATTAGACAATATTTGTTACTGAATGTGGGTGCTGGCTTCAGTGGAGTTGAGAACCGCTGATTTTAAATGATTGAGACAGCAGCTGATGTGAAAGTTTAAATATGGCTCTGGGTACCCAAGAGATTCCCTGATGGAGGCAGAACTTTGAGAGCAGTGCTCAGCAGAAACGAGCAGACATGTTGTTTCACTCGGTTTAGCAGCTGCCCCTGCATTACTGGTTTTAGCAGCGAGTGTCTGATATATTTCTCAGCCCTAAAGTAAAAACAGGTGTAGGCTCCCTGGTAGGCATCTCCCCGGCTCCGTGGAAGAATATTCCCACCCTGCAACTTGGCATCCCTACCTCACTCAACTGAGATGAGGACAGGGAATTAGAAAAAGCAAGTCAGCCCAGGAGGTGAGAAAGCTCTTGGAATCTTTTTATTTTTTACAACCCCCTTCAAAAATTCCCAAGTTGGAATTGAGAGCCTGTGCTTTGTGGCTTCCAGGTGAGGGTGTGGCAGATAGGCCCCCAGACCCAGAAGCTGGAGGAGGCGCTGAAGGAGCACAAGTCCTCCGTGTCCTGCATCCGGGTAAGGAAGAGCAACGAGGAGTGCGTCACGGCCAGCACGGACGGCACCTGCATCACATGGGACCTCGTGTAGGTACCAGTGATGGGGAGGACCAAGTGATGCGGAACTCAATCCCAGCCTTTTATTGAACTCAAGGGAAGACTCAAACAAAGGGTAGAGGGCTTCCCTGGTGGCGCAGTGGTTGAGAGTCCACCTGCCGACGCAGGGGACGCGGGTTCGAGCCCTGGCCTGGGAAGATCCCACATGCTGCGGAGCAACTAAGCCCATGAGCCACAACTACTGAGCCTGCGCTCTAGAGCCCGTGAGCCGCAACTACTGAAGCCCGTGCGCCTAGAGCCCGTGCTCCGCAAAAAGAGAAGCCACCGCAACGAGAAGCCCACACACCGCAAAGACCCCACTCACTGCAACTAGAGAAAAGCCTGCGTGCAGCAACGAAGACCCAATGCAGCCAAAAACAAATAAATAAATAAATTTATTTTTTTAAAAAAGTAAATAAGGTTTCTCAGGAAGAGAAAGTCATGTTTCACAGCTCTAGAATCTATTTTTCAGGCATCTTAGGAGGAATCAGATGATCCTGGCTAACACCTTATTCCAGTGTGTTTGTTACCACCCTGAAGAGTTCCAGATCATCACCAGCGGGACAGACAGAAAGGTAAGAGTCAAGATCTTTCTGGTACAAGAGAAGAGCAGAGACGCCTTGTGGCTGAGGGTACAGGCTCTGGAGTCAGGCCATGCCAGTTCGAACCATGGGTTTGCTGGTGATCTGCCGTGTCAGTTTGGAAATGCTACATAACGTTTTGGGGTGCCTTTGCTTCCTTTTCTGCAAAATGGAAGTGATGACACCACTGACCTCATGCAGTTGCTGTGGGGATTAAAGTCATGATTGAATATGATGCTAAAAGCAGGGGGCCTGGCACATAGCTGGCACTCAGTAAGTACTGGTTTTGATTATGAGGACATTTCTAAGGCTGGAATTGTTGTGCCCAAAGGAGCTGTCACTTTTTTTTTTTTTTCCGTACGCGGGCCTCTCACTGTTGTGGCCTCTCCCGTTGCGGAGCAACAGGCTCCGGACGCGCAGGCTCAGCGGCCATGGCTCACGGGCCCAGCCACTCCACGGCACGTGGGATCTTCCCGGACCGGGGCACGAACCCGTGTCCCCTGCATCGGCAGGCGGACTCTCAACCACTGTGCCACCAGGGAAGCCCGGAGCTGTCACTTTGATTCAATTCAAATTGAATGACAATAGAGCTCATCTCTCATCACCCCTACTTCGGCAATATATTAAAAATCTCTTTAGCTATAGGGAGTCCATGTCCTTCAGTGAAAATTGGCCATTATTTGGGGGGGAACATTTCCCCCTTGGAGCAAGCAGGAGGCTTCAGGAGAGAGACACATGGAAGGGCAAGGAAGCTGGGGTGTCTTCCACCCTGCCAGCCACATCGGATCAGCCGGATGTTGGCCTTATTACCTGCACATCCAACGACTGGGTTTGAATACCCCTAATGTGGAAGAAGGGTTTGCATATTTATTGTTTTGCCAGATACAGGCTAAGTTAATGGAGTTAAAAGTATTGAGGGAAAAATACAAAAGGTACCTTCCCTCCCCACCTCCACCCCCCAAATTAGAATCTAGGAGTAGGGTTTTTTCCTGCCTAAGCTTCGCAGGTGATTGGGAATGACTGCCTGAGACACTCTGTTATAAAAACCCAAGGAATGCTGCCTGGTCCAACCGGGATCTGCCGGACACAGACAGAATGTTCTGGGAGGGCGTGAAGAACGGCCTCTGTGTTCCAGTCTCTGTAGGTTGTTAGGTTTCTTTGTGTCTCATCCGCCCAAACTGGCCTATGCCTGCCCATCCCCCAACCTGTGCTTGACTTGTGGTCTAAGTGGGCTTCCTCTTGGCACTGGGGTGGGATGGATATTAGGGAGTTAATCACCACGTCGCTGTAAATGCTTTGATGGACGGTTCATATTGTTTCTAAATTAGTGTGATATCTGCCATATTCTAGGTTTCAGCTTTTGAGGCTTGAAACAATCTATTTCCCTCTTATTTGAATTTTGACCAGAATATTCCAACCATAAATCATAAGTCTGTCAAACTACTCTAAGTGCTGGAAACATGACAGTGTCCCTGCTGTCCTGGAGCTTACCTACCTTCTGTATTAATTTTGGGTGGGAAGGGATGGAATGGGATAGTACACATGTAAATGAGGCCATGAAAGAGTAATGAGTAATACATGAACAAGATGATACGAGATGGTGAAAGAGCTAAAAAAAATATAGAACAGGCTATAGGATAATGGCTGGGAGAAGGAAGCTGTTTTAGCAAGGATGGTCAGCGAGGCCTCCTTAAGGAGGTGGCACTTGAGCTGAGGCCTGAGTGCCAGGAGGACCTAGCCATGCTTTGATCTCAGGGAAGACCATTCCTGGCAGAGGACACTTGGGAAAGCCTAGGGGAGGCTCACTTTGACTTCCCTGGTCAAGGAAGCTGGTAATCAATCACCAATGACTTACATCGATGGGATTCCTAAGAAACTAGGATTTTGGCATGCTTTCATACTCCTTTATGTTTTTACTATGAAATCAGAACTTTATTGCTAAAGTGACCGAGCATCGATAGAAATTATAAAGCAAAATAAATAAATAAAAAGAAAAGAAAAATTTTAAGTAGCATACACCATTTCTAGCTAAATTCAGAGGAATACAGATTCCTGGCGTAATGATGGGAACACAGCAAGTTGCCATCAACATGAAACGGAGAGAAAGTTCTGCGTGAAATACCCAAGTTCCCACTCCTGATTCCTGGTCAAGGGCTCTATGTTTAGAAAGAAATTTTTTTTTTTTTTTGCGGTACGCGGGCCTCTCACCATTGTGGCCTTTCCCATTGCGGAGCACAAGTTCCAGACGCGCAGGCTCAGCGGCCATGGCTCACGGACCTAGCCACTCTGCGACATGCGGGATCTTCCCAGACCGGGGCACGAACCCGTGTCCCCTACATCGGCAGGTGGACTCTCAACCACTGCACCACCAGGGAAGCCTGATC